GAGGGAAAAAGACTTTAAGGGATGAATAAAAAGTCCAGTGGCGTGATCACCTATGTACAAACTTAACAAGATAAATGATGTGAACATCATGGTAATCTAGTCCAAGATGATCAAAGTGTTCGGGTTCCAAATAATATCCAAGTTCAAGGAGTGACTCAAGATCCATTATCCAACATTGGAGGCCCAATGACTCAAGCTAGAAATAAAAGAACGAGGAGTGCACTTAATAATCTTATATCAAATGATTTAGTCCAAGAGAATGTCAAGTCTGGAAGTTACAAGCCCAAAATTATTAATGTATTACAAGACCCATTTGAGGAAGGAAATTTCAGCCCACAAACCAAGCAAGGGAGGCCGGCCCTATCTCCTAATTTTTAGGAGTTGAAATCTCTATCTTTTACGGATAAAATCATTTAAAACTTATCACACTTGTGGAATGATAAGATTTGGAAGATTCCCTATCTTTTAGAGATAAGATCATTTAAATCTTATTACATGGAAGGATAAGATTTGATATGATTCTCTTTTATCTAATTTAGAGTTTATTCAAAATTAGAAGTCTATTCCTTGGTGTCTACTCTTAACCGTTGGATGGAGATTAGATCAAGATTGGATGGCTATGATTATTCTACAAAGAAGATATTGATAGAGTTGACAACTCAGGAAGATTCTTTTCAAGATAAGGATAGGATTCTTTTGAGAGAATATCTCTTTGTATTTAGAGTTTTATTTTCATTAGACTAGTGTATCTTAAATCTATAAAGGTGTCTAGATACATTGCCTAATAAATAAGATACAAGTTGTCAATTAGAGGTTAAGTTGATTTCTAGTTCTTTAAAGTAGGAATAGAGTTAGAGCTCAAACTCTTCTCCTACTTCATAGGAGAATTTCGGCCCCCTCTACTATAAATAGGGGTGTTTGGCCAGCATTTCATTTGTACCTTTGATTAATTTGATATTTCAATATGAGACGAGAGGAAACTCTTTGTTCTTTTTCTATTCTTTTCGAAAATTAGTGCATTGCACACAAGCTTGTGCTTTGTTGATGCATGCGAGTAGAATAGGTGTTTTTCTACTTGTGGAGCTTTGTTAGTTGTTCATTGGAGCCTTTTCGCTAGCCGTTCTATCTATAAATCGAAGGGATAGGGTTATTAGAGAGGTGACCGATTGGGTTGCTAACCTTAAGCACTTTTCACATCTTCTAAACCTTTCCATCCCTTTTTGGTGCAAATTTTTGTGGTTTGCATATCTTCTTTTCTTTTACTTTTCGTGAGTTGTGGAGTCCATAATATTGGATTTGCAAATTTTCAAGTCTTGGGAAATTCATAGCTTCCGCGTCGAGGTAAATCTGCCACCTTTGCCTCAAGATTCGTATCAATTGGCCTCAGAGCTTTGGTTCTTGAAGACTTGTTTTTGTTTTTATCTACTAAAGCTCATCTTTGGTTAGATCTCTAATTGTTCTTTTGAATTTTTTATTCTTTTATTATAGATCTCATTATTTTACTTCGATTGTATTCTTGTTTGATTTGATTGAAGTTGTTATAGTTAGATCCATTATTAGTCAAAAAAAAAACGTTTTTCTTCTCCTTAACTTTCGGATCTAGGGTATCTTAATCCCTATTCCACGTTTTGAGTCAAAAAAAAAAAAAACGTGCAAAGATAAAAAGAAAGACATCATAGAAGGATATTGGTATTTGAGTTTGATTTGAAGTGCAACTACTATTATTTGCACATATCTTTTTCGAAATACTTGGATCTTTGGTGGCTAGGGTTTCGCAAATATAAGCCCTTTACTTGTGTATTGGCCAAAATAGGGTTTTGTCTATAACCCTAAGTCGAATCTTTTTTTTTTTCAGAATTTGCTCCAAGTTCTATTACCCTTTTCGTGAGATCTAAGTTTTCATAATTGTTACTACTCGATCTATATTCGTGTTCTTCCTTAGATCATGTTACAATTATTTTCAGAACCTTACTTTTTGATTCTCTTTATTTGCTTCAATAAAGTACTTCTTGTAGTACTAGTCTTCATTGCACAAAGGATTAAAAGAAAAAGACAGTGGTAAGAATAGAGTGAATCCATCCCTTACTAAATTCTAAACCTTCTTGAGAGATCTTGGGGAGTGAATAGAATAGTTAGGAGGGGTAACCAGGAAGTGAGTTCTTCGATATTCTTTTTCTTGTGTGTGTTGAGTTGTGTTTTGGAAACATGGGAGACAAAGCTCTACCTCCTCCTCCACATGGAATGCTGAATGATACTGTGCAAGATTTTAAAGATAAGATTGCGGCATTAACTAATCAATTGCAACTTATGACGATGGCAATGGCACAACAACAACGACGACAAGAAGGGACCACTTGCCAACAAGAAGAAGCTGCTAATCAAATAATCCAACTTGCCCAAGTTAGGGATACATTGGTAAATCCTGGATCTAACCTTGTTGCACGTAGAAACATCCATGGCGGACTTGGCAATGCCGGGCGTGGTCAAGGTGGTGGACGTGGTAGTGAAGGACAAGATGGTGATCGAGAAGAAGAAGGTCAAGGAGAGCGAGAATAAATTCCAAGGGAACAAAATGATGATGATGGTGTTGAGCATGAAGAAGAATTTAGGCATGATCGACAAAGACAGCCTAGATTTGATGATAACATGAACACTATCAAGCAGAAGATTCCAGAATTTCGTGGCAAGCCAGATCCTGATGCGTATATTGATTGGGAAGATCATATCAACAGGATCTTTAATCTCAACAATTATTATGAGGGAAAGAAGCTGAATTTAGCTGTGTTAGAATTTCATGAATATGCTTCTACATGGTGGAATGAGGTATAACGTTGGAGAAGAAGAGACGATGATCCCGCAATCACCAATTGGGGAGAGCTTTCACATGTAATGCGAAAGGGTTTTGTCCCAGCATCCTTTCAAAGGAAGCTTCGAGGTGAGTTGCAAGATCTTAAGCAAGGAAGTAGTTCTGTCATGGAATACTACCAAGACATGAATACTTTGAAGCTTAAATGTCAATTGGAAAAAGATGAGGAACAAAGTATAACAAGTTTTCTACATGGTTTGAACCTTCCCATTCGACATAGAGTGGAGTTACAGTCTTATCATGATCTAGATGATTTGGTGGATAAGGCCGACACTATTGAGAGGCAAATGAAGAAATCTTCGGCCGCAAGCAGAGCAAGGACATCCTCCACTAGTACATCATCCTTTGGATCAAATCGGTGGGGGAGTACTCCTAAGAAGCAGACGGCTCCAAGTTTTAGTCAACCTAAACAGTTGCTTAAACCAGCCGAGGTTACCAAGCCATTGGAGAAGATACCTAGTGTGAAACCGGGTTCATCTGCCAATGTACAATGCTTCAAGTGTAAAGGAAGAAGACATTATGCATCTGATTGTCCCAATATGAAGGTAATGGTACTTCGAGATGATTGGTACTATGAAAATGAAGAAAAAGATGTGCATGATCAATCTAATATGGTTTTAGCAACAACCGAGCAAGCTACAACTAGTCAAATGTATGATAAGGGAGCTTCTGAGAGTGAAGATGAGGTTATCTATGAGGAAGACGTATCTCGAGCTATGGTACTAGCTCATGCTCTTAGTATCCAGCCAGCTCAAGACAAGAATCTCGAGCAACGCACCAATATTTTTCATACAAGGTGTAAGGTGAATGCGTGTCTTGTGATTGTGGATGGAGGAAGTTGCACAAACTGTGTGAGCATGGAACTTGTCAGGAAATTGAACCTTCCAACGTTCAAGCATCCTCAGCCTTACAAGTTGCAATGGTTAGATGATCGTGGAGAAATTAAGGTACGGTCGCAAGCTCACTTACTCTTATACACTACAAAAAGGATGTTTTGTTAATACATTTTAAAATGTTGTGATAAAATACATATAGTGACATTTTATTCTATTATTACATTTCTTTAAAGTGTGGTGTAAGTAGGGGTAACAATAGATCCCCAACGTATAAAGACACCTTTAAGTGTCACTATAATGGTTTAAAACGTCACAAAAACATCAGTATCACAGCAGTAAGAGTTGTAATTTAATTTTTGTATTATTACATTTGCAATTGTCATTGTAATACGGGGTTCCGAACTTATATTAACATGATTAATTGTAATAATACATAAGGTATTAGGACATTTTTATATGCACTGATACTAACTTAATACAACATTTTAAGGTTTCATGGGTTCTTTTTTTTTATACATTAACAATCGTCTAAACAGGTCATCAGTATGTCCAGTTTAGATGTCACATAAACAACTTTTGATGATATATTCTATCGTGTAAATGTGTAAGTATTTCAAAATATTTCTACATTGTTAAAGGTATAGATAACTATTCTATGAAGACATGTTTAAAAGTGCATAAAAGTAAGTTAATATGACAATTCTAGCGGTCAAAAGCCAAACATGTTGGTACATATTTAATAGTATAGATAAATAGCCTATGCACCGGATAGGCTATTTATCTAGCGACATTTTCTATTGAAAAAATATGTCATTATTTTCAAATATTAATACACAAAAGATTGTACAGTTAAATGGTCTGTTAAGACAATTTAAAATTTCTACATAATTAGCATAATGTGACAATTTCATTTGTAAAGTTAGAATGGTATGTTATATATATCGATGCACAATAAGTAGTGTGACAATAGATATTAATATGACATAATTTAGTCTATTTAAAATATCTTTAGTTTAGATAAATATGTATTTTTCAATTTTTAGTTTGTTTATATATTAAGAAAGGTAAAACTACTAAAAATAATAAATGATACTAATTTCATTTCAATAGAGAAAAACACACTTAATATTCCAGAAGTTCATATAAATGACAAAATTAAAACCTTAAAAATCATTCTCAAAGACTACAAAGCAACTTCCAATCCAATGCTTTCTAGTTTCTCACTTTATTTGATAATAACTATAAAGAAATTTGCCAAGGTGGTAAGAGCTCAAATTCTTGATTCACCAATCTTGCCTTCATTCAATAACTTTCACCTATATGCCAAAAAAACAAAAAACAAAAAAAAATGAAAAATTATATATAACAAATAGAATAAGAATATAAAAATGTGCTGCTAAAAATATTCAAGATTTAAATTTGTATCATGTTACATACCAAGTTGCAAGGCCAAGCAACAGACACACCAAGTGCATCTTCAAAAGTTAGGAACCAGTCATAAGGTCGGACCAATCGTTCACCATAATGAATCACTGAATTTATATGAACTTCACACCAGTCAAGGCCTAGTGGAATTCTTCCTACTTCAGTATCCGGATCAAGGCTACGAAGGACTCCTTTTGCCACAATTTTCGTTGGATCAGTTAAACTCTTGATATGAACGTCGTTCTTCACCTTTAAAAAAATTGAGATAATTGTAATAATCCTTACAATCCAATAGATACACTTATATCCATTTGACTTGCAATCAAGCAAAAAGATAAATACCTGAAGAGGTTGATCTGTTGGAATAGACGTAGATGAATCTTGAGGTGATTTTTGTTGTGATGTCATTTGTGACTTTATATCATCAAGTGAATTTTTCATGACTACCATTTCTCTGTTATACTCCAAAAGTTCACGTTTGTACTTTTGCCGTTTTGAAACATTTGTTGATGCATTGGATGAATAAATACCCGTATCAATCATACGAAGCCGTCCAGGTGGATCTGGGCCAACAACTTGGGCAAATATGTCATTTGGACCGAGTGGGTCTTCTGCGCCTTCATGGAGTTCATTCCTTCGCTGCTCAAACCCATCCTATAATTTACGAAAAAAAATAATTTTAGAAAACATTAGACCTTCTAAATTTAAATGTAGATAGAATTTAAACAAATCACAAAACCTTACTAAATATTTTCTAACATCTTTCTTATAGCACTTTCCCATTAATTCAGCACGAGATGCTTGACGACCTTTTTGTTTTCCCTAATAATAAGTTCATTGATCAGTAAACTATGCAAAAGTTTAATCTATTAGTTGCAATGTAAATATATATGACATGGGTCTTACTAGGTCACGATTAACTTGGCGAAATGGCTTCTTTCCAGTAGTATGATTCATTAACTTCTGTGCCCTTGTTTCTCGGTTTTTTTGACTTCGTTCCTAAAGAATATTTGGGTAATAATGAAGGTGAAGTTGCAATAAAAACCATACAATATTTGACATAAAAGGAATGAAGTATTACCTCTACTTTTGGATCATTCCAATAAGCCTGAATTTTTTCCCATTGCTCTTTATTCACCCTGTCATCAGTCAATTCAACTGAATGTGGTACCTCTTTATTGGGAAGGAAATAGTCATTTTTAAGTTGATTTTTCCAATTCTTCCAGGCATTCTTTATGCAGGTAAGAATCCAATCTGTATCGGCCATGGTGATGTCAAATCGTGCCTGCAAAAATGAAAAATTAAAACACATAGTGACATTCCAAATATAAATGGAAAATCATAAGGAGAAAGAGCTCATAATACCGCAATGGTAGCCAGCATGTCCTCCTTGTCTTCATCGTGGATTTTACGCCAATCATTAATGTGAATCGGACAGTACATATTGTTTCTTGCTATAGTGCCCAAGAATTCACCAAATTGACCTCAGTTTTCACCTATTGCTTTCCCATCATCATCAAAATCAAGTTTTATGGGGGGTAAATTCCATGGACGGCCCCAAGTCGCCAACATCATAGTTTTACCTCGAGTTCTTTTTCCTGCAATTTTAAATTAATTAGGACAATATGGCAATGTAACATAATGAAAAAATGAACAGGCAAGTAGGTGGAGAAAGATTTACAACCTTTTTTACTACTATTTTCTTTTTCCTAATGTTGTAACGTGTCGTCGTTGTTTTCCATCTCTTCGTCATGAGAGAATGCTATAAAATCAATTTATTTAGCAAATTCATTAGAAATATATATATATAGAACATGGTCAGTGAGTCTAAGAACCTACCTTCATGTTCATGAGTAATCTCATCATCTTCTTGTTCATTGCTTGCGGCTTCAGTATCACGCCTATTTAGCATCATTGACTCTTGGGACCGCAATTTGCGTGTTTGGTTCATCCTCTGCCTCTGAGTCAACCCTGTGGAAACAACCAAATAAATATTGTGTTGTCTAGTGAAATTAAAAATTTTGGTATTGTACACTAATCATACTTGGTGGGTTTTCAATCGGTTCATCTTGAAGGTTGCAAATTGTCTTACGCTTTCTAGTATTCGGCGGCATATCTGAGAACAAAAGATAAAAAAGTGTTAACAAATCCTTAAAAACTTCCATCAACGCACAAAACTAAAACAATATTAATATTTACAGATTATGCTAATTCGATTCATCAAACGGTTCATCAAAAAAACACAATACAGACTATGCTAATCCAATTCGTAAAAAAAGAACATCTGAAACACTAATTAACCCGTGATAATGACCCAAAAACACATAATTCTGCCCAATCAGCCTACCAATAGAAATCAACAATAACAAAGATTTTTTTTCCTGATTTTAGTAACCACACGACTTTTTAATTTCGTAGAACTGATTATACGTACCTGCTGAGCAATATTAATCCGGCACGCTTTCAATGGGAATTAAACAGTATATTGTGATTCCTTCACAAAATAAAGGGTAGAACTATGATAATAGTGGGGTTAGGGAATAATAATATAGATTGGCGTGGACTAATCTCGGCCACTTTGAATGAGAATTAGTAGTATATTGTGACCTTTTCACAAGAGAAGAAGAACTATGATAGAGGCGGAAGCTTAGGGCTTATTGATATAGATGAGCATGGATTTGGCATTGTTATAAATATATCAGCTTTAGATCTCTAAAACTTTTGAGTTTGGCACCCTCGAAAAGAAAAATGAAAAGAAAAAGAATTTTCAATTTACCACCAATAGCTCACTGATGTAATTTTTTTTTGGTTTTTTAAATTTATTGGTTTTCAAACAATTTTGTCAACGAAGTCTGTATATTTTAAGTTCCTGCCCCATAAATTTCCAAATTAACCGCAAATTTGTTCTACAGTTTCATATTTACTGAAATCTATAATTATTCTATCAAGTTCGAGTAAAATCAAACCTAATAATAATAATTAATTAATTTATAAACTAACAAAAAAGTATTTCTAGAACATGTAAATGTTAGATGCTCATTAGGTTTTTTTTCACTATAATTATTCACTATCTCTATCGTTGCTCTTATGTAAAATATCCCATCTGGTTCTTATTATAAGGCATTTTGATTCTGTCTTAGGTTTTACCTACGATGATTTTTTAATCGAAATAAAAATCTTAAAAACATTTCATAATAATTAGGAGAACACAATGAACGCGAAAATATATTTTTAAATTTTTTTTCCGATTAAAAAGATATCATAGGTGAAACATAGGACAAAATCAAAATGTTTTATGAGTAGTAATTATACATAGTAAAAGAAATAACTATTTAATTATACATATATATACCCAAATTATATATACTAACATAAATGTCCTCTTATTACCACAAATTTGGTGATTCAAACCTTGTAGCTAGGGAAATGCATGAATTAAAAGCAAAAAATGTTGAAGCTTTGTAATCATTATACATTACTTTAGTGTCATAGTCTTTTGGTCTAATTAATTAAACTAATGAAATGTACAAATCACTTGCCCTAGTAAATATATATATATATATATATATATATATCTCATGATGTTAGCACACGTGCTATACTATACTTGGTGATCATTACTTACTTGTCATATATTTGTTACTTGCTATCATTTAAATAATGATTGGAGATAGGATAAGAGGGTCACAACTAAATTTTGGAATTAGAAACCAACACTTATTTTAAAATTTTTCTACTTTGTTAAAACAACACTTATTAAGATCGGAGGGAGTATTAATATTATTCTCAACCTCTATATTAAGCATAAATCGTGAAATTTTATGTAGACTTGTAACAAGTTTTAAATAAAATTATTGTTACTCCCTTCGTCCCATAATTATTGTCCAGTTTGGGTTTTTATTTTTAGTTCAAATTGTACTAAAAGTTAAATCTCAAACTGAACAATAATTTTGGGATTGAGGGAGTACTATATTTTTAGAAGCTAATAAGTAATAACATAAAGGTGATATGGATTCAACGGATGGAAAATATAAAAAAATAAAAAAATAAAAAAATAAATTAAACATATTAACCAACTTGAAGGACCACGTTGCAGTCGTGGAAGGGCTTTGGGTTAAATAGTATTTTTCTTCCTTCTAAAGACTATCGAGAGACTACCCCATTAATTTAAATTCTTTGCATTTTCTCTTTTCTTCTCAAAGCTTCATCTTCTCCGGCCTCCAATCCTAATCCCCCGCTTTCAAAAAATAAATCCAAATCCCCCAACTGGAAATATCTGTGAATACCTCTGAAATTCTTATCTTAATCAAGAAGAGAATAAGAACAAGAGAATTGATGGAAAGAAGTGCCGAAAGAGGGAAAGAAATAAGTTGAAGTTATTAGTCAATTTGTTCGGAGTTGTGAAGCAGCAGGATTTGAGATGCGGTAGGAGCATGAAGATTTCTTTCTGTCATGTAGTTTCTTATACTTTTGTTGGGTTGTAATATAGAGCAATTACGGACGGAGTAAAAACAAAGATAGCAGCAGAGCAAGTTGCTTGCAAACTGTTTGATTCTTTGTCTCAAAGGAATCTTTATTGTGTCGATTTTAAAAGTATCTTGGTGCGTCCTACTTGTATGTACATATTGATTAGTGCCCGGATTAACTTTCAATCCTCTGAAAGCAAACCTCCTTTCTATTTACTTTCTTCTACTATGGGCCACTTATATCTTAGTCATGTATTCATGGCATTGCAATGATGTTGTAAATTGGACTTCGGTGACAAGATGTATCAGTAAAATCTCCTCATTTCATTAGGTTTAATATATTAAAACTACATGATTTTATATAAATTATCTGTTAGCTCTGTTGCAAAATAACGAAACAAGCAGGCATCCCTTTTACTAACTTATGATTGCATCCTTTTGCACATGGGAAAGAATTACATGAAAATCAAAACATCTTATTTGAATGGCTGGTGAAACACTGAAACTACTATATGACCTATCTTTATGATTACTTCAACTAGGATAAAACCAATAAAAACACAGGATTATATGTTCCTCTCCTCTGTGAACTTATCTCATGGAAAAGAACTATATATGAATGGCCAAATAAGAGGCGCTTTTGCAGCAAACGCCTAAGTATCGTCACATCTTCTTCCTCCTACAATGTCCAAACCCGAATACAATCAATCAAAAAAATTCAGACTCATTGAAAATGAGCTTTTAAAAGCCTGTGAGAGAATGAGAAATGATAAAACAAAACAAACCTCTTTAATCCTTTCTTCTTCTTCATAATTAAGCTCAATTTGTCAGATTCATCATCATGTCCATCCTCCTAACATTTCATATTACAGAGCAACATTTAACCATTAGTACCAAAGATCAACACTACTCCCTAGACTAACACCACTCGTGAAAAGAGTTACACTGCTTCAGATGAGTATACCACGCAATGCTAATTCAACAATCAAGCCAATTTAATGTAACAAAGAATTTGATTTACCTCCGTAGCTGGAATGTCAACTTCATCTCCATCAACACCTTCACGAACCCATGAGACTTCATTACCATCATTTTCTGTTGTCGGAATGCATAACTTGCTTTGTAGGTACGTTTCAACATCAGCCATTGGCTCCATATTATAGTCACCTCTAGCTGGAGCAGAAATGACAACACGCCACTCTTTATGAACAGGATCTGGTATACAAAATACCTGTGCTACTTGAGATGCTAAGATGAATGGCTCATTGTGTTTTTCAACATTTGTGAAATTAGCCAATGTAAACCCATCACTGTCTTGCTTCAACCTTTTTCCTTCTGAAACCCAGTCACATCCAAAGAGTACAACTTTTCGTCCTAAATAATCCAACTCAATAATATCTGTCGAAACTCCATAGTAATCTAGTTCAGTTACTACTGGATTTTGGTCCCTTGTACTAGAAAAACTCGAGGTAGTCGCCTTGACAGTTACTCCACTATTTTGAGTTTTCCTATCCTGCCCCAATTCCCGAGTATGAAACCTAAAACCATTTACAACATATTTTGCATATACTAGTCCTATAAGATTAGGTCCTCTTGCAAGGTTTTTCATGTCTTGACATATTGGATCTTTTCCAGATAATTGCAAATATTTGACCTACAAAACAGTAAACATGTATAAGCTACAAATTGTAACAACTACTCTAACAATCTGAAAAACAAAAAGAAAATATCTTACATGACTAGAAAACCATTCAGCGAATCCTTCACTGTGAATATGTTCAATTCGATTTCTTGATTCACGAGGATATTTTTCTTTTACCAATTTAAGGTGCTGCCTACATATTCAACACATAACCCAACGTATGTAAGAAGGTTAAAATCAGTTAATCAAAGTTCATAAGCATTTAAAAAATAATAAAAAATAATGGAATTTTAAAATGAATAATAAATCACACTTACTCAATGTATGGTTTGACCTTTTTACAATTAAACAAGACATACTGGTGTGCCTTCTTCAACGTATCATTATCGAATTTCTTTGGAGTACCTTTCCCAAGAGCGCGACCTCTCATTGTAAATACATCCAGTCCTAGCTTTGCACTTTCAGTTGTTTCCCTATTTCTACTCTTGGAATTCAATTTTGAATCCAAGTAGTCATCTAGGTACATAGAGCAGAATGTTAAGCATTCCTCAGCTACGTATCCTTGAGCTATAGAACCTTCAGGCCGACTTCTACTTCGGACATATGATTTCAATGTACCTAAATACCTTCATATCAATTTCAAAAAGAAATATTAATTAAAAAGTATCAAAAAATACTAAGTGCTAAGTAACAAGATAAAATTACTAGAAATAATAGTTACCTTTCGATCGGGTACATCCATCGATAGTGAACTGGTCCAGCAAGCCGAACTTCACTAGCCAAATGTATAGTCAGATGCACTATCACATCAAAGAAGGAAGGTGGAAATATTCTTTTCAGATGACAAAGTGTAACAGCAATTTCTTTCTCCAAGCGAAGCACATCCGACGGATTAATTACCTTTGAGGAAAGTTCTCTAAAGTATTTACTTAAGTTCATCAAAGGAACACGAACAGACTTTGGTAAAGTTTTCGTCAATGCCACAGGTAGTAGTTGCTGCATCAAA